GGAATTTCATTGGCTGTGGCGTCAGGAGTATTCATCGGAATATCGTTTGTGTTGAAGAAGATTGGATTACTGAAAGCCAATGAAAAATATAATGAGGAAGCAGGAGAAGGATATGCGTACCTTAAGAATGCCTTGTGGTGGTCTGGTATGTCTCTCATGATTCTTGGAGAAATTTGCAATTTTGTGGCATATGCATTTGTGGATGCCATTTTGGTTACTCCGCTGGGCGCACTCAGTGTCGTCATTACCACTATCTTATCCGCAATTTTCCTCAAGGAACGACTGAGTATGGTCGGAAAGGTTGGATGTTTTCTATGCATTGTTGGATCGGTGGTTATTGTCATGAACGCGCCAGCGGAAGCTTCGGCGGCGACCAATCAAGAAATGCAGCATTTTGTGATTGCTCCAGGGTTTCTGAGTTACGCCGGTGTCATCATCATCGGGTGTACCTTTCTTGGATTTTGGGCTGGACCACGATATGGAAAGAAATCCATGCTTGTGTATTTGTCAATTTGCAGTTTGATTGGAGGACTTAGTGTTGTTGCGACACAAGGGTTGGGAGCTGCAATTGTCACTCAAATTGGCGGTACAAAACAGTACAATCAGTGGTTCTTATACGTCTTATTCGTCTTCGTCGTTTGCACACTTTTGACGGAGATTATATATTTGAACAAAGCGCTCAACATTTACAATGCGGCATTGGTAACTCCTACATATTATGTTATGTTTACGAGTTCTACCATTGTCACTTCGGCCATTTTGTTCCGAGGGTTCAAGGGAACTCCAACCTCTATAATTACGGTCGTTATGGGGTTTCTGGTTATTTGTTCTGGTGTCGTCCTTCTCCAACTATCGAAATCGGCCAAAGATGTTCCCGATGCTGCCATTTTCGCAGGTGACCTCGATCAAATGCGCATCATTGCCGAACAAGAACAGCCAGAAACTGAGCCCAAGGCAGATGCTATCAGAGGAACAGCAGCTATTGTTAGAAAATTCTCTTCAGCTAGACAAAAGATGGAGATGGAGGAAGCTAAGAGGCTTCATGAAGAGTCTCACTTGGAACCACTTGGTGAAGATGAAATAATTGAATGGGACGGTCTCCGAAGACGTAGAACTACAATTGGTTCGAACTATAGCGCGAGCATGAGATCTCGTGCTAATTCATCTGTTCCTCCTCTGCCCGAAAATATGCACCATCAACCAACTCATCGAACAACTCTTCCTAGAACACCTATTGCTCACCCACCTCTCGGTATGTCTCATTTCCCGGATCCAGAAGAAGATCGCGACGAAGAGGATCGTCCAGGTACCGGTCTGAGTTCTTCCATCTTTGGCACTATTCGCAACCGTGTAGCTCGTGGCAAATCTCTTTCTTCGGGCACAAATCCTGTTGTCAACCTACAAAGTCCTACTCACCCTGTTCCCTTGACCGATATTCGTACCTACAGAGGCGGTGATGGCGATATTTACAAGAGCGAAAATAGCGATGAAGCTTACTACATTCATGATAATCATACTTTAGGTTTACCACCTGCTTTACGTGATCAGAAGACTGAGTATACTGGCTCGGGAGGTAGACATATTACTATTGCGGATGATCCACACCGTCCAATCTCCAGAGCTAGTAATTTAGTTCCACCTACACCCCCACCTCACTCTGCCAAGAGACAATTTTCATTCCAGAATGTCTTCAGAAAGGGTGGAGGACCACAACAAACTGACGGACCTCCACAAGAAGTCCGTTCGCCTGATAGAAAACGTGTGGGTTCTCGACATGGAAGTGATGAGGTTGTTAAGGGTGCAACCGAAGAAGAAAGATTGGGACTCGTCAAAGGCGATACGAGAACACAAAGCCCATCGGGTACATCTAGTACTCCTTCTTTCGATGAGGATCTTGAAGAATTAGAACCGTGGAGTTCTGAGACCAAGGGATTTAGAAGAAATCGTTCTCCTCCCAGAAGAGATCCTGCGTTGGGAGAAAAGGGTTCATTTCTTTAGGGATACAAGGATGGACATATGGGATATGATGGAATGATATGAATCATGTGGAGTTTTGGCGTTTGCGAATACCTAAGAAAGTTTTCCTTCTGGCATTATTATTTGTTTGGTTGATCGATTGATTGGATGGATGGATGGTAGGGTGGATTATTATTACTGCAAGTGTATAATCACAAGCTTTGTATATTGAAGAAAATGGGGGGAGGGCTTGACTAGAAGGCGATTTGGATTCGGGAAGAAGGATGGAGGAAGGAAGATGATTGGAATTATTCGAGGAAGTGACTGGGAGGGGAAAGAGAGACCTATGATACCTACCTAGAAACTATTATGAACTCGGTTGTAATCGCACCCAGGACTTCTTCTTACCTGTGATTGATGTATGTTGCTTCATGGACGGAGATGCTATGTGATGGGATTTTGTGAATGGAATGTGCGTGTGTGTGTGTGTGTGTGTGAGATGTATATTTTTTTGGCGGGGAAGGAGGGGGTGGGGTCTATTGTTATATTCAATGGGGTAGGTAGGTAGGTATTGGGGTTTTTGTGAGAGCGATTTACTTGCTGATTGGTGGAATGGAGTGGAGATGGGATGGGATGGAGAGTTTGCGGATAGAGAGATAAGTGAGCGAGTGGGCTTGGAAATAAGTGAGTACCTACGATATCTACCTAGTGGAAAATGGAGAGGAGAAAGTGGGTAAATGATTTCTGGAGTTTTGCTTTTATGATGCGGATTTGAAGGAGGGGGATAAGTAATAAGTGCTGGTAAATATCTATTCGAGTCTTTTTGTTATCGAGTATCGATTTAGTTTGGATGGTTTGTGTTGTTGTTATTATTGTTATCGTCGTTTAGATATTGAAGAGTTTTGTATATGTTAGAGTAGAAACGATGAGCGGTTATATCGTCAGTTTCGCGATCATACAAAGAGTACTGTCTAAGAAGTCTTTATCACAATTTCATCTCATCAAATTTAATAGAAACGATTTAATAGGATTATCGTTTCTTCGATCAAGTGTACGGGGGTTTATATATACACCGGAAAGTCTTCCAGGGTAGCTAGGCTGGCTATTCCGTGTAGAGTAATGTAGAGTGTGGGTTAGTAGGGAATAACCTTAATGAACAAAGTAGAAAGGGAATCCTAATCGCATCCTACCTCAATAATTCTCGCTACTATAGTTTATCTAGGAGAATATATATGCTAATGCATTTCTGTCGATCTTGGTAGAAGCGAACTTGAGATCAATCATTAAGCGAACTTATTTACTACGAGCAACTCATAGCTAGGTATTAGTAGTCTCTGAACACTTTTTGAGTATTAAGTATAGTATTATAGATTGCCTATCGAATCATCTAGAGGGAAGATATAGTGCATAGTGTAGTTTGACATCTGGGTGATGATGGAGCAAGAAACAAACAACCATGAACTCGTTAGTTATAGAGGAGCACAGTCTCAAAGCTTTTGATATTGTTATGAGTGATGTAATGGGTAGGTACTATTAAGGGTGATCCTTTTTCTGATGTTCATTTATTATTTTCTTGCTTTGCTCTTTTTGATTGATGAGTTACCGAATTTCTCAGTATCAATTGAGGCTGATGGTAGATATTGGAAGATTGGATATGTGAGTATGATTACCTACCTAGCAAGATTCATCGTTCGAGCCCATCTGAATCATCAAATTCTCACGCCTGAAATTGTCTTGTATGAGTGCACTGGTGTGAGTATTATTCATTGCATCATTGTGTATGACTTGGCTAATTAACTCTTAGTGAGAGACCCAGTCATTTACAATGAACACTATGATTCCAAGACCATGAGTTCAGCGCCAGATTTGTGCTCTTAAGTTTCAAAATTTCCTGGAAAGGAAAGGTAATAAAAGCACAACCAACTACCATTCTAAAATCCGAGAGTCCGCTTCAATATCCATCTTATTTAGACATATCTACATACCAACAACTATCTTCAAAATGGGGATTCATCAGGACAATCAAAATTCTCTCTCCCCTTCTGCGCACATTCTAACGCGTGAAGAACTTCCCTCCGCAGCCTTCACATCTCAAAATACCGATTTGATTCATACGGCGACTTTTTCACCACCACCCACCATCCAGCACGGACATCCTGTGATCTACACTCCATCCTTTCAAAGCACCAGAGCACATCGCGGATCAGATGGACATAAATCGACTGATGAGGATGGGATTGTTCATTCCTCGTTATTGGAGATTTTTCCTCAGAGAGTTGATAAAATGGCGCTGAGAGAGAGGATTGAAAAATGGATGGAGCAGGTTGAGCATGGGGAGTGGGAGACGGGGATGGAGACGGAGATGAAGACGGAGAGTAAGAGTAGAGAGGGAGGAGATGAGGTGATGGCGGGAGGAGTCTCTTGTTGTAAGGGTCGTAAGAGTCGTAAGAGAGATAGGAAGGGGAGGTATGTGGTGGGCGGTGATGAGTATGAGGATGAGGATGAGGATGGTGGTGGAGTACGTGGAAAGAAAAGTCGTGTGGGAGAGTGAGGGGATGGAGATGAAGATGGAGATAGTGAAGGAGGTATGTGTGAGGTTTTTGAGAGGGAGATAGTGAAGGATTTGGAAAGAAAGTATTCTCTTGAGGAGCTGGAATACTGAAAGGCTGAGACTCAGATATCATGGATATACTGTCTAGAGCGACTTGAACGAGTGGAAGCTCATTGTTCAAGTGAGGCTTGGATTTTTATGGATAGGCGCACGTATACGCTTTATGAGACTTGGGTTTTCTTAGCTGTTGTAGTTTAATATCATCGATGCTTTTGGTCTTTTCTTCTCTTTGCCTGGTTTTGAAATTGTTGGTTTGTGGAATTATTCAAGGAGTGAACTTTATCATACAGATTAACTTGAGTGAAATCTAATGCAACTGCTTGAAAAGTTTCTTGGCACCTTCTCCTCTTGTCCAGGCAGTCTCAACTCCTGAAAACCTCCTTTACTAAAAAGACGTTAAAATTACATTCCTCTCCTCTATCAACATATCTTCTCAACCTTCACATTTTCCCTCCAACAAACCAACCCCAGCCCAAAATCCCCGCTGCCACGGCCAAACTTCCTCCCTAGGTTTCCACTCCCAAATCGCCCCCGGCACTTTCCTCCACTCTCCACACCACCATTTCCAATCTTCCGCCGTCGGTACGCGATACCACGCCCAACCAACTCTCCCAGATTTCCCAGCTCTCGGATCTTTCCCAAACATTGCATTCTTGATCGCAATCTCATCATCATCAATCGCCCAGAGATACTCCCACTCTCCATATAAATATGGTTTCTTCTCTCCCTCTTCCGGAACCGCATATTTCTCATCGATAAACCCCATGATCATCCAATCATCAACTCGTTGATTGGGACCTTGAGATTGTAGAATTAGATTTTTGGCACAGTCGATGAAGGATTCTGCTGCTTGTGCATATGTGCTTTGACGATCTGGGGTAAGCTCCTCGAAAGAAGTCATGCAAATGTGTGCGCTTCCATTCATGTAAGTGATTCGATTCATGAGTTGGTTTGCGAGTAGGGTTTTGGTTCTGTGAAATCCTTTGTGTGGGTTTCGACCGGTCAGACTGGTGTGGCGGTTAAGATTACTAGTGGAGGTATTGTGACGGGGGTTTGCAGAGGGAATGTGGATGGGGTTGGGTGTGGTAATTGTTTCTCCGAAGGCTTGCGCCCATGTTGTAGACCATCGAGTGGACCACCAGGTTGAGGATTGTGGTGCTTCGTTGTTGGATTGGGATTTGGTTTCTTCTGTCTTCTTTTGTTGATTCTGGTATGGTTTGTAAACAGGAGGTGTTTGCTCCGGAGACCATGGAGATTCTGAAAAAGTGGCCCTGGTGTCAGATATCTGGCTTCCCACGACGTCGGCAAAGTAGGCTTGGCTGGGTGGTGAAATGATCACTTCTGATGCGTTGGCCCATCCAGTAGAAAACTCGTGCTGCCTCATTGCAAATATCATCGTTTGTGTCTTTGGGATCATCGAGTTGGAGATCATGGAACTTGTCTGGTCCAGTAAGGTAAGACCCTGTTGAATTGTATGAGGGAGGCTCTTCCTTAGACCAATGAGGTTCTTCAAGGTCTGTGGCATTAGTGATGGGTGGTGGACTTCGTACGGAGCCAATCATCTTGAATGGTGGATCTGTATTTTGTATGTTGATGAATTTGGAATGTGTATTGTGTGCGACGACGAAAAGTTATCGGCTTGCATAGATTGTTTCTTGATGATTTGAGGAATGGGAACAGCGAAACTATATAATACCATATCGATGAGTATCATGATTCCTCTCGTTTGTTTCGTTTACATGACTGGATTTGTTGATATCGATTGTATGACTTATTCGAAACTTTCGAAACTGAGTCAAAAATGTTGTGTGATAGTCATTTGGAAATTGAAATCATGAATAGTTACAAGTCAAGTTCGGATGAGAGCATATGATTTAAGAAATATGAAATTGCTACTAATACAGAGGATATGAAAACGCCTTTGAACATAAGTATCCACAGAGCGATATCAGCTAGACCCCTCCCTTTGCTCCTATACTCTCCGAAACATCAAATATTTCCAACTCTCAACAATCTATCTTGGAAATTCCCAACTATTCAACCTCTTTTGCACCGCTTAGGTCTAATATTCTCCTTTTCCACGCCTGGTATAGTTTGATTCTACTTGCTTCTGAAGGTCCAATATCTAACTCATGTTTTTCCTCTGTGACTTTCTCACTTATTTTGGTTGACTGCGAGTTATGACAGTGACTCTCTTCCTTGTTGTCTTCTCCCACTGTGATGGTGTTCTCGGAAAAATCATGATACTGCTCCGCACTGGCCCGACCAGCCAAATTGCAAGTAGACGAGTTTTCAGGTGCAGGTAAAGGCCAGTTAGAATCGTTGAGGGGAGCTGGAGGTGTAGATTTGGTTTCGGTTGCTGCTTCGGTTGCTTCTTTGATATGGGTGTTGGCTTTCTCCTTGATTTGCTTCGAGAACAATCTGTTAGAGAAAGTACGGATGTTTGGCTTGTGAAAGTGTGCTCGAAAGAGGTTACTAATGTGCACTGATGTTTTGTGTGTAACGATATTGGTCTTAAGGAGTTGGTTTTCTTGGACCAGCTTCCTTTTCTCAACATTTTCACTCGTCTCGACTAGTTGAGTTTCTCCAATCTGTTGTCTTTCAACAGTGGAAGATAAGATAGTACGAGCCCTTTGCATTCTCAATGCTCGAAGTCGGGCAAGATGATGTTCGGGCAGATACATCACTGGGAGACTTGGTATTCCATCCTGAAAGATATTGCCGATTGATATTTGGGGATTTGGTGATACGCCCACATTCTGCTGTATAGATTCTTCAGGTGAATGGACTGGAGGTTTTTGTATTTGTTGCATAGGTGGCAAAGTGTGCTTTTGTTTGTGGTACAGAAGCGCAGCTTTGTGAAGTTCGAGTTGATCGGGAGCTTTCGAGGGGTGTTTGGAGAAAAGCATTTTGAGCACGAGGATGGTTGAGCGGGTCGCAGATGCTTTTAATAAAATATCGATTCCGTTGATGTGAAAATCTTGATGGATCGTTCTGATTTCTTTGGTAAATGAAGTGAGAAATGAGATTAGGTTGAGAGTATTCAGAAATATATATAGCTCCCGACACTATATTCTGCTGACTCTACAAGGTATTTCGAATCATTTGAATATATCTAACAGGCAAAATATCCGCTTGGAATTTGTCAACGATAATACACAGTCAGGAAAATTTAATTTTCGAGTCAATACGTACAGATAAGAAAATGAAGCTGCAGTGAATACTTACCCATAGCCCCAGGATAAACCCTCTCACTCAAGTCACAATGAAAGATAAAGGCGCAATAATAATTCATATTGAATCTCAATACCTCTGAACCAAACTCAAAGGCGCTCAACATACATAGCACCTCTTTTCCAAAAAGCTTCAACCTCTATCAAAATCACGCCCCTTTTAACGAGTAACACGTTCTCACACACAATTCCCAGAAGTACAACAATCTCCTTTCCATAAGTTAGCAATGGAGCCTTTGTGTTAGAGATATCAAATATCGTACCTAAATAATCGCAGGTTCTAGATTCCTTACTTTTGAGGTGGCTCGATTCCCAGCACACTTTTGATCTGTTGCATGGCGGTAGGAGGAGAAGAGGCAGTGCCTAAGCCCTCTTGGCTAGAAGTCTCGACACGTTTTGGGCCTGCGGGTTCTCGTAGACCGAAACTACTAAAGGAGGTATATGCTGGTTGACGAGAAGCTCTTGGGTGTTGTTCGCTATTTGTTGATTTGGGATCTGGCAATTGTATGGCGGATTTTGTTTCATGAGTTGGGTGTATAGCCTTTTGGGGGGTAGGAGGCGGAGTTGGGTTTGAGGAAGTTGGTAGAGGAGTGTCAAGTAAGAGGGTTTGGAGGTTCATGAATGAGTCTGTGGTTGGACTATCCATAACTAGTCTCGTAAGATCTCAGGTAATAGATGGCTCACTGGTGTATAGAAAGATTGGAACACTTGATTATGTGTAGAACAATTGGATTTAGAAGCTGTTCTTGTCTTCAGTGTTGCGCAAAGATGTAGTACAATATACCTGGAGAGTTGTATCAAGGGCCAAGAATGGTCTAGCACAGAAATGTGACATCAAGTCTGAATGGACCATTGTTGGCATCCTTGTATTGAATAATCATTATCAGCCCACTTGACTGTGAATGAATACTTCTTATCTACTTAACCCCTCAGAAAAGAGTGAAAGCTACTCAAATTCATGTGTAAGCCTCAGTAGCTTTAGGTTCTTCAGATAACCATTAACTTTATCTTTATGAATAGCATGTAAATCTCAAGTAAACTTTATCATTTGAATGGAGCATCTCGGGTTCAAATTAGTTTCGATCTGTATATGCCATGCAGGTTGACTATCCCTTTCAAACCCAAAACCCAGAATGATTCCCACAACAACGACTGGACAGAGCCATCGAATCTAGCACGAATATCTGTCATAATGCTCCAAATCATAGAACCAGAGAACAAACTCGTCAGAAGGCTGCCCCTTGCCTGTCGGTAAATACTCCTTTCGGACGATCTCCAAATCCTCTAATACCTTTCTAGCGATCCACTCCATGCCCATTCCCATCTTCGCAGCTTTTTTCTTGTAACGACGCGTGAGGGCTCGTGTAGCTCGAGGAAAGTTTTTCGAGTTCGAGGTCATCAGATTAGCGGCCGGGGCGATAGCTGTAGAAGTACGGCGTTCGGGTTCTGCGTTGCTAAGGAACATGGTTACTGCCATGTAAACCGGGAAGTTTGACAGAGTATCGTTTGCTGGAGGATACTTAAGTTCTTGTGAAGAATATTTAAGCAATTCATTCAAGTGGAGAGTTCTCGTGCTATCTAGACCTTAAAAGTGTAATATAAGTCATGTATTGCTCACTGTGATTCAGATGTTTTCTATGTATAACTTAATAAAGGAATGTTCCAACTACGTATTTTGGTATCATCAAGCAACAATTCGAAAGCAAGCGAAAGCATCAGACAATCACTGTTCCCAGGCCGTGTCCAGGATTTTCAGAAGCCAGGACTGCATCCTTGCATTCAGAAGGTTTCAATTCGTGAAATCAATCAGACCATTCCAGTCATTTTGAGATATTGAATTTATTCTAACTATTGGACTACTTTCAAACATCAAAAGCTTACACCAGTCCCCCAGTCCAAATGATGAAACGCCTTGCCTCCAGATTATCATTATGCGTGCCTCCAGCGAGCTCCAGCTTGCCACGCTCCGTATCTGAGCTTGTCCAATTCAATCTGGTCCTTTCTAGCACCGCAAAAGTCGATGACAGCATTGTCATATGATTCATCGAACCATTCCAATCCTTCGCATTGATGTGAATTTGTGAGTTTGTCGGAAGTTCCATGAGCATTTTCGAAGTTCTTTATTTGAATGCGAATCAGCTGCTCAATCAATTTATGCTTTGCATCCTGCAAGTCATTCTTCATCAATAAGGTTGCACAGGACGAAGGATTGGGTAGCGTCTTGTAACTGTTGTTGTTGTTGTTGTTGTTGATACGTGCGGAGAATTCTTGAAGCCTAACAATGTATGGAGAACATGGAATGTTTAAGAACTCTTTGAACTTCTTCTCATGACCATACCATAACACCTCTTTAGCTAGAGCTGGTAATGGAGGATTTTCTGAGCAAGCAATTTGCGTGGAAAGCGATAACGTGATTACGGGTGGAATTCGTGGATCTTCGTCAGGTACCGAATCTTTCAATAGCATCAAGTATTTCTCGGACGCCAACCAAGCCTCAGATCCGACCAATGACATATTGCCTGGAACTGGACAGCTGTCATACATTGAAAGGTTGACAGGTTTTGAGACAATGTATTTTCGGCAGCTAATGAGGATTTCTTTCAGAATACGGAGACCAAAGCGTCGGTACGAAAGACTGTGTGATGTGTATTTACAATGTTGATATGTATTCAGTTGATCCAAAAAATGCTGGAGCGTTGCAAGAAAACTTTGTTGAAGTTTAGGTGTGAGGAGAAAACACCACCAATGAGGATGTTTATACATAAAATTCGAACAGATAGTATGATTCAGACATTATTTTTGGAAAATATGACTCCAAGAGAGGAAGATATGAATAATCGCTAGAATTATCATTGAGCTACCATCTCCCCATCATATCACTACTCCTCACAAGATATGGTGCGCTTCAAAGTTGTGGCTTCGTAGTATTGAACTGCATAGTCCCACGCATCAAAATAATCAATAACGTCCTTTTGCGATGGATGTTTCCCATTATGACCTTCCTGATAGACTCGAACAAAAAATGAGATTTCTTGGTTGACAATCTTTGAAATCTCCATATTCTTCATGCGCTGGAGGTTGCAGTCTTCCACCGACTGATCCATGACTTCACAAGGAGCATCAAATCCGACTTTGATGAGGTGTATCCGCACGGGCAACGTATAATCTTGCATATGGTAAAGTTCATATAACCTCAGGCGGTGTCTGAAATTGAGGATTTTAAGAGCATTATTGTAATTAGAAAATTTCATGCCCAGTCTGCTTTTTAAATAATCCAACGTATCAAGATGTGGTGCAGGCATCCTATGCATACCATCAACGCTTGAGTATGCTGGAGGTGCTTCTTCCATGTATGGACTGATCGAGTTTTCCTCCAAAGACATGGCTATAGTCTTTTGCTGTAGATTTTAGGGTTGCCACAAAGCTGACGAATACAAAGAAACATGGATTTTGAGTTCTGCTGTTTCTGGAACGTCTTGCGAAGAAAGTTATGAGTCTTAAGACTTGATCGAAACGAGAAGAATTATGTGCACGAATGGATGGAGTGAAACTGCTTTGATAGGAATAGAAGAAACCAAAAGATACACTTCAATATTGATGCACCGTTTGCCAACCTATTTTATATATACAACATGAAATTATGAATGATTCAGAGCGGCAGATGTTCCGCAAACAACCACGCGACGTGAGCATCACTTGATGTATACCTCCAGTCGTACAAACCTGTTTACACAATGGCTGCTTTGACAGTCTCGGACAATATATTGAGGCTGCAAGTACTAGTCATCAGATCAATAGATCTATCACAAACATGGTAACAGTACGATTATCGATTTTTGGTCCATCTAGAATAACCACTTGGGTATCATCGGTACCGGGCTTTGCAAGTTTATGATGTATGGTTTTCAGCTCGAAGTTGTTAGACCGTGTTCTGCGGACACCAATATCATATTGAGCGCCGTAAAAACTCCAAAGCTGTGGAAAGGAGGTCCCTGAAGAAGGCAATCATCTCCACAACGAAGCCAAAAGGTAATATTGGCTCTCCTGAGATAAGCATGTGTCTACAAGCATCATTCGAAACACCTAGGATCTAAGGGGTTTCAAGATGCTTTGGACCAACTTCTGGAAAATGCGCTCCACACATCGACAGGAAACAAATGCTTTGTGCTGATCTAGGTATCTTACAATACTATTGTCAGATATTGCCCAGGTGCCATTACTACCCACCGGATCTCCCGAGTGAGATAAAATAGATAGATTCGGAAGCAAACGTAGTCAATATTATGTGACTTAAGCCAGTGAAATCGGATAAAGATCGATGTACCAATAGCCACAAAGTTATCTTTCATTGATTTTCAAGATACCAAAATGATATTTGATCCACGCTCCAGGATAGCAATTTATTGATATCGTCCTTTCGGATTTCGCAACTCACCGCCCGATAGCGGTGAGCAAATGCGGGATTTAATGCTGGTAATATATATTACCCCAACCCAAATTTTTCTTCCTTCTCAATACCCCGCAATCATCAAACACCCCACCATACGACATCATGGAGAAAACTATAGGACTTTTGGGAGGAGGGCAATTGGGGCAGATGCTCTGCGAAGCTGCGAATCCTCTCGGTGTCAACGTTATTATTCTCGATGCACCAAACTCCCCAGCCAAACAAGTTAATGCCAAGAATGACCATCTTGATGGCTCTTTCATTGATGCTGAGAAAATCCGCGAACTTGCAAAGAAAGTAGATGTTTTGACAGTGGAAATCGAACATGTGGACACATACGTATTGGAGGAGCTCGCAAACTCTGGAGTGGAAGTTCAACCCAGTGGGTATTCATTTTGATATTCATTATGAATATGTTGGTTCAAACTTTGCAACAACACTAATATAACTTTAGGCTGGAAGACATTGCGAGTCATCCAGGACAAGTATTTACAGAAAGAGCACCTCATTAAAGCTGGAGTACAGACTGCGACATCACAAGCGGTAGAAGCTGGAAATCTTGAGGAGTTCGGGCGCACACACGGGTACCCCTTCATGCTTAAGGCAAGGAAAGACGCCTATGATGGACGAGGCAATTGTCCTGTGAAATCGGAATCGGATATCAAGAATGCACTTGAAGTGTTAAAGGATAGATCATTATATGCTGAGAAATGGGCAAGCTTCAGAATGGAGCTTGCGGTAATGGTTGTGAAGACAGAAAACGAAGTTTCCAAAGATGGGGACTCTACGATTGCATACCCGGTCGTCGAGACAATCCACGAAGATAGCATCTGCAAATTAGTTTATGCTCCAGCAAGAGGAATTTCCAGTGATCTCCAAAAGAAAGCACAAGCCTTAGCGCGTAAGGCAGTGGGTAGTCTTTGGGGTAAAGGTGTTTTTGGAGTTGAGCTGTTTGTTATGGAAGATGGTGAAATACTGGTCAATGAGATTGCTCCTCGCCCTCACAAGTGAGTATTTTGAGGCGTCATTTCAACAGGCAAATTTGGACGAGTACTGACACAATCTTCCTATAGTTCGGGACATTACACAATTGAAGCATGCCCAACCATGTCGCAATACAAATCTCAACTTCTTTCAATATTAGGTATCATGCCATCCTTCCCCAACTCAGCTATTCCTTCCATGTTTCCCGCAACTATCATGTTGAACATCCTTGGTGGAGCGTCAAAAGATTCCCACAAGGAGTTGATGCAACAAGCCGCCGCAATCCCCACGGCCAACCTTCACATGTACGGTAAAGAATCCAAGCCAGCTCGCAAAATTGGTCACATCACTGTCATTGGTAGCTCTATGGCTCAAGCTGAGCAACTTATTTCTCCCTTAATCACGCTTAACGATAACATGCGTGCCGAACGAAAAGGTCTCCCTAAATCCACATCCACCACAATCTCATCTCCATCTTCACCTCAAAAGCTCGTCGCTATTACTATGGGTTCAGACTCCGATCTCCCCGTTCTCAAACCCGGTCTTGCTATCCTTGATTCACTTCAAATTCCATACTTCCTTACTATAACATCTGCGCATCGTACACCACAACTCATGGCAGATTTTGCACGCGATGCCGCTTCCAATGGCTTCAAAGTTATCATTGCTGCTGCAGGTGGGGCGGCACATTTACCTGGTATGATCGCTGCGCAAACCCCTCTTCCAGTTATTGGTGTACCAGTAAAGGGAAGTACATTAGATGGAATGGATAGTCTTCTGAGCATAGTACAAATGCCAAGAGGAGTTCCTGTCGCAACTGTTGCTATTAATAACAGCGTCAACGCAGCGTTGTTAGCAGCAAGAATAATCGGAGCCAGTGATAGTGTGGTGTTCGCAAAGATGGAGGACTATATGAAGAAAATGGAAGATGAAGTTGTAGGAAAGAAAGGAAGATTAGAAGAGGTCGGATGGGAGGGATACTAGATTTTGAAGGATGTAGAATCACATTGATACCACGCATTTCAACTATGCACACGGGAATATATAGTTAAATGAACAATAGACAAATAAAATCAGCAACTAAATTCTCATTTGCTTGATGTATCTACTTAATTGATTCCTTTGCTAAATACCTATCAACGCCTGACCTCCGAACCAGAAAATATCAAGGAAGCATAAGGTGAAAAATCACGAGAATTGCGTCCTTCATTGAACCATTTCCCTTTCACTTACTCCATAGACTTATCCACGAAACTGGGCTCTCAGTGCCATCAATTGTGCCCTATCAGCTGGTGGCAGACTATCGATCAATTCCTGTGGCATGGCCATAACTTGCGCCATCAACGCATCTGCATCTGGTTCGGCTACTTGAGCTGGTGGTGGGGGAGCTTGTCTTTGTTGTGGAGGAGGTGGCGCATAACCTTGCACTGGCGGCGTACCCATCATTGGCAAACCCATCTGGCCTGACATATGTGGAGGAGGAGGGGGATACCCAGATGGGTATGCCGAACCTCCATATTGAGGAATAGCCGCAACGGGTAGAGGGATACTTGGGACGGGGGGAGCGGATACTGGTGCTGCGATCGATGATTCGATAATGGACGAGAGGGCTTCGGGTTGAACAAGGCCCATCAGAAGAAGGGCTTGAAAAACGGCATAGGAGAGTTGGGGAGCTTGATGGAGGAGTTCGGTCGCTTTTTGAGGATCGGTCGAGGCAAGGGTCTTCATTTGAGAGAGTACATCGAGAAGTTGGGATGGAGGGAGAGTGTTGAGAGTGCGAGAGATAGCATCAGGGCAGGTGAGGCCTTGGGGTAACTCGATGCCTATTGGCAGAGGCGGCAATGGGGCGGTGTTTGAGGCTTGAGGAATTGGTAGAGATGGAGGTGGAACTGGAAGGCCATTTGTATTGAGAGGGGGAGGTTGATAGTTTGGCGCAGACTGGAAAGAAATACAAATTAGCACACTCTCTTGGTAGATCGGATTATTATAGGGTATAAGCTCGACATACATTCTCTTCCTCACCACCATCATTTGAGAAATCAACGCGCAATTTTCGATTCATAATTTCGTAGTCGTTTAAATTCCTTACTGCAGAAGCTGCAGAATCTAGATGGACGCGCAAAAATTTAGCAGTGTAACTATGGATGGGAAAGTCGCAAACCAAACATGCAGTGTACTGCACGTACCTGAATCGGGATATTCTGCGAAACCGAAGCCTTTGGGTCTACCTGTTTCGCGATCATAGACAAGTCGAAAATTGACAACATTTCCCGCGCTGCTGAAGATATCTATTATCTGTTCCTCGGTAAGACCTTTTCATACGACATAAATTAGCTTGATACGGTACAGCGATGATGACCGGTCAAATAGAAAGAAGATAAATTACCATAAGGAATATTTCCAACAAATACAGACTTGGAAGGAGGTTTTATTGACATATTGAAAGAGATAATGAATGTTCCAGACTATGGAAATATGCGATGGACAGAGTTGAGATGATTTTGTTTGCAAGATTTGACCCTTTAGAAAGGAATGCAAATGGATTGATCACTTCTTTTGTCACTGCAAAATTGAGAAATGGCACAGAAAGTCTTTGAAGAAGTGATTTCTGGCTACTCTAAAATCCTTCTTGTCCTCTTCCTTATGAGCACCGACAATCCAAATCCCTTTTATAATTGCGGGAGTAAGGGCGATTAACAGTACTGCCTCTGTTTCGAGAAAATTCGATTTTTTTATGTTGTTTTGAGCAGTATGGAAGGGAAATACGTCCTCGATAGAAATGATAGTAAGGTTCAGTTCATCGCGCTTCACGACTTTCACTATGGCTTGGCGTCAAAGCTTGTGTGGAGTGAAGGTGCGGCTAAATTAAAAGTACGCTAGGACGGTTTTCGTTGATCTGATCATAGAGAGCTTCACAAATCCCCCCTCCGCATCACAATTTACTCCCCTCAAACCCCGCCACAATAACTCGCAGATCGATATTGTATCCGACTTTTCGAAAGCTGCCATCATGTCGAACAATCCACAAGATGTTTTCAAGAGGCTGCAGAGAATGGCAAATGAAGCAAGTAGAAGTGGTGGCGGAGGACCGGCACCAAAGGGAATAGCAGGTGGAGTGGCTACACTTATTGCACTGGGTGGAATCATGGTCGTTGGAAATAATGCGCTTTTCAACGTTGATGGTGGTCACAGAGCTATCAAATATACGAGACTGGGTGGTGTTGGCAAGCAAATCTACAGTGAAGGTATGTATTTACTTTTTCCTGGGGCGATTATTTCACGCACTGTGGTGGCTAACATTACAATTTTGCTTTCCAGGTACACATATCAAGATCCCATGGTTTGAGACCCCTATAGATTATGATGTTCGAGCGAAGCCACGCAATGTCGCCTCCCTCACCGGTACAAAGGATTTACAGATGGTCAACATTACCTGCCGTGTTCTCTCAAGGCCTCGAATCGATGCCCTTCCTCAAATCTACCGAACCTTAGGTACCGACTACGATGAGAGAGTATTGCCATCTATTGTGAATGAAGTTTTGAAGAGTGTAGTTGCGCAATTCAACGCCAGTCAGTTGATCACCCAACGTGAGATGGTTGCAAGATTAGTCAGAGAGAATTTGTCGAAGAGAGCAGCTAGATTCAACATCATGCTTGATGATGTTTCCTTAACGGTATGATATTATAAGATACTCTAAAAATGACACAGATGCTAATGAGTGAATAGCATCTCGCATTTTCTCCCGAGTTTACAGCAGCAGTAGAGGCCAAGCAAGTTGCACAGCAAGAAGCCCAGCGTGCTGCATTCGTAGTTGACAAGGCACGTCAAGAGAAGCAAGCTATGATTGTTAAGGCCCAGGGAGAAGCACGATCTGCGGAGTTGATTGGTGATGCTATCAAGAAGAGTCGATCATACGTCGATTTGAAGAGAATCGAGAATGCTAGAGCAATCGCTCAAATCATTCAAGAGGCTGGTGGACGCAACAAGATGTATTTGGATTCGGAGGGATTGGGATTAAATGTCACTGAGGCATTTGAGGATAAAAATAAAAAGGCATAATGAATTGGGATGGTAATAGTGAATTAAATAAACTCTCTCCACTGTACTACAAGCGTATGTAGCATGTATACTATATTTTCTGAAAGGTACAAGGTGTGCCAATCGGTTTCTGGCCCATGGCTATGAATGCATTTTTTGAGCACATATAATACGCCTTTCTTTGAGTCGATTAAATACCCACTACTGGTGATTAATAGGTGCAATTGCAATCTCTAAAAGGAGAAAATCACTTTTCTTCAAAACTTTCGAGTTTTTAAACTTCCATTTCTCGCTTGAAGTCGTGTTTGGGTATCCGTTAAGATCGTTGTAGCATTCAGATTGTTGATCACTTGCATTGACCCCTTGTTAAAATTCATACTCATCATATCATCCATTTCGGAATACGGATCAAGACTTGCTCGAAGTATAGGTCGGCTTAGAACGGCTCACAATTTTGGGCACGCAATCGCAGAGCTCTCGTGCTTTTGGAGGTAAATCACGTGATATACATCCATTTCTATCTCAATTCCCACCAACGATTTATCGTGGCGTGTCTTGGCGCTTGGCGCTTATAGCCAAGACACTCCCACCTTCCTTTTGGATGATAGCTTCCGATAGCATTTTTACGGACCTTCCCCTCAGGTTTAGATTGGCCCAGCCTCATGGTTGAGCATTTGGATCGATACGAGTAAACTCAGATGAATGAGCCAATTCAAACTGGTGTGTCCCTGGCCGATCTTCCCAAAAAATTGGAATTACCTTATAGAATCCTGGTATTACGATAAGACCACAGACGAACAATACAGGGGAAAGCTTTCTCCGCACTTTGTGTGACTTTACCGTTGAGTGAATGCATATTGCCTTGTTTAAACTTCGGATGTAAACTGTCAATATGTTTACTGTTATTGAGCTTGGCGCTCTAGCACGATATCATAGCCCGAGACAACAATCCAATTAGCGGGGCTCAATGGGATGAATGGTGAATATATAAAAGCTCGGCTTTTCCCCGAAAAGTTGTGTCTCGAAGTCACCCTCCTCTTACCGCCCTTCCTCATAGTCCGCTAGGATACTTGCTCATCATGCTCTTTACGATGAGGAGCTCTTTGTCGCTGGTGGCACTGTTATCCGCAGGGGTAGCTAATGCTACCTACACCAATTCTACACCGACATTCACTCCCCAAGCGATGTTGAGTTCTCCTCGTCGAGGGTCGGCAATCCCAAATGCAGATGGAACGCTTGCACTTTACACTGTGGCCACCTACTCATTTGAAGAACATCACAATTCTCATGAGCTCCGTGTGATGAACCTTGCGAATGGTACATCTTGGCTATTCAGCAATTCTAGTGGCATCAGCAATGCCAATTGGTTAGGCGATGGAAGTAAGATTATTTGGTTCGTTTCGGAGGATGATGGATCCACTAGTTTCGTCGTGGGAGACGCGACGGCACCAAGTGCGGAGTGAGTCTTCTATTACATCCGTTATGTGGTCTTTGGCTATACAAAAGACTATGCAAACCTCAAAAAGGGTTCCTTTTTGTATCTTAACTCAATTCTGACCCTCTTATAGACCCATCTCAGCAGGTTCTGTTCCTGGAGCAGTAGACAACCTCAAGCTAGTTAGCATTGGCGAGGGAACTCTTGGTGTTGCATTCAGTGGCCAAGCTTTACCCAATGGTACTTTGTACAATTCCGAACTCGCTCCTACACCTTATTCGACTGGAAGAGCGTATACCACCATTTTCGTGAGGCATTGGGATACTTGTGAGGAACTCCCAAGATTCTATTTGAAAACCAGCACTAACATAAAATAGACGTCACACCTCAAAGAAACAGTATTTGGTACGCGGCTTTGTCAACCACTGGCAGTAACTATACCCTCAGCGAACCAATTAATGTTTTGAACGGATCTGGACTCGAATCGCCCGTCCCACCATTCGGTGCTACAAACAGGCAAGTGAATGACGTCATATTACTTTCTGGGAAACTTTCTAATTTCGAACAGCTTTGACATCGGTAGCAAAGGTTTATCTTTCATTGCCAAGGACATTACTCTGAATCAAGCTACCACAACCAAGTCCGATGTTTACTATGTACCATTGACGACATTTACCGAAACCTCTCCGGAACTAAAAGTGGTTTCCACTCCCAATCTCGAGGGTGCCTCGGACGCTGTTGTCTTTTCACCCTCTGGATCTTCACTTGCTTTCGTTCGTATGGCACATATCGCCTACGAAAGTGACAAGAACCGCGTTCTACAAGTAGCAGATGTCACTTCCGATTTGACTGCTGTTGAATTCTTTGCCTCAGAAGATGGAAAGGGAGCTTGGGATCGTAGCCCAAGCACACTCCTTTACAGCCAAGATGGAGAGTCTATTCATGCAGTAGCCGAAGATTTCGCTAGGGTTAGACTGTTTACATTTTCTTCGGATCCTACAAACACAACCCTCCCATCCATTATTTATAAAGATGGCGGTGTAACAGATCTTCACCCTCAAGGAAAAGATAAGTTACTTATTAGCAGTTCAAGCTTTCTCGATAATTCGGTCTTCTCTTCCGTTGACCCCAGCGTTTCAGCTGCCACCAATGCATCATCTGGTGTCACCACCATCTCAGCTAATCTCAACAGTCTCAAAGCGTATGGACTTTCCCGTGATCTCATCTCGGATGTTTTCTACCAAGGCGATGGAGACTACCTAGTCCACGCCTGGGTCATTAAACCAAGTACATTTGTTGAAGGTCAAAAATACCCCCTAGCATTCTACATTCATGGTGGACCTCAGGGAGCAACTGAAGACCTTTGGAGTACCCGTTGGAACATGGCCGTGTTCGCCGAACAAGGCTATGTTGTTGTAGCCTTCAACCCTACCGGTAGTACAGGATTTGGTCAGAATCTCACCGACGGAATTCAAAACCAGTGGGGTGGTAGACCATACAACGATCTCGTCAAAGGTTGGGAATATATCGAAGAGAATCTCCCATACGTTGACACAGATCGAGCTATCGCTTTGGGTGCCAGTTATGGTGGATACATGGTAAACTGGATTCAAGGCCAACCTCTCGGTCGTAAATTCAAGGCTTTGTTCACACACGACGGATCTTTCTCCACTCTTGCCCAATATTCCTCCGAGGAACTTTGGTTCATGCAACATGATTTCAACGGAACACTCTGGGAAAACTTTGACAATTACGCACGTTGGAATCCGGCAAACCACACCGATGCCTGGTCTACTCCTCATCTCATTAACCATAATGAGTTGGATTACCGTCTTCCAATCGCGGAAGGTCTTGCTGCATTCAACATTCTCCAGGCAAAGGGAATTGAGAGTAAATTTTTGAGTTTCCCAGATGAAAACCATTGGGTTTTGAACCAGGAGAACAGTTTGGTGTGGCATAAGACGGTATTAGATTGGTTGAATGAACATGTAGGCTTACCTGTTTATTCCAGCCCAGATGATACCGATTATAGGGCTGTTTTGCAGAGTGGTTCTTGGATTTGAGGCCAATAAAAGGTTACGGCAAAGAGGTCATTAATAGGGTAGTTTGATAGGCCAATGAAAATTACATTTTACTTTCGAGCTTTTTTTTCTTTGGATGCACGAAGAGTGATGATTATTTATGCAAGCCTCTCGTTCAATATCCCATGTTGCCTCAAGATATTGTAGACTGGCGAGAGAGATCTTTTAGTCTCCCTCTCAGACGATAGAGAGTTCTTTCATGAAGACACTTTGGTGTTTTTGAAAGGGTATGAAGGTCGAGAAACACGTGAGTAAGCTTCCCTCACGTCTGCATGTTCTTTCCCGACTGTAGCTTTTCGTTATTATCTCAAATGTTAGGAACTAGTTCTCGCCCTAGAAAGTTGGAATAAAAACTGAGAACTACCTACGTGGCCTCACCATGCTTGGAGTGCTCATGCCATACAATAATTTTTTCCTATACATTCATTACCTACTGATTTGATGTTTGCTTTACTTTTCGTTCACCTTCATCTTCATCGGCATACAGACACAAAGTGAATAAACGGTCACCCAATCTGTCCATTTGGACCTTAACTTTTTAGAGTTTTTTTTAATTCCTTCCCTTTTGATATCAATTTTTTTCCTTCAATACAAATTTCTATCTTCCTATACTCAACATCAACTGTATTCGATAGGTTCGAAGGGAAAGATCAATTCGAAACAAAGGATTCCCTCCAGAGATCCGTTTTGTCATATTACACTCATTTCTGACAATCAGAAACCATGTCTTTCAATTCCGATAAACGAAATGGAAGTCGTGCTAGTTCCTATACTTTTTCTCCAAAAATATCCCAAATAGCTGAAGCTCCTTCTCCAGTTCTTCCACCAAATATCCGTAAGTGAATACTAGCACTGCTCTCTGCATATATCCCCTAAGACTTTCTCGTGGAACAGAGGTTCATTCTAACCAAATACACAAGATCCGACAACTTTTTGCGCCATTGGTCCTAATGCCTGCGATCTCGATATTCTCTCCCGTCTCCACGCTCAGACTGTCAGAGCCATGGGCCGCGATATTTCCCACGAAGAATTCTATCTCCGTATGGAAGGACGTCCTGCCAGAAGTCTTGCTCCCCTTTCTCCCAGCCCAAACATCAATCCATTTTCATCTTCCAATACCAAAATCAATCCTGAATACCAAACATCTGGAAAATGTCGAATGGAAAGTGGCACAACTGAATCTAGAACTAATAATCTAAGGAGTGGTATTAGTGCAATGGAAGCAATAGAGCCAGATCAAAAGTTCAGAGAATTTGTAGCGAGATGCGTGGGAATTACACCGCGGGCTTTATTTATGGGAGTTGGGGCAACAGAGAGGGCAGATAGAAAGGTTGGGAGAGGACCAGGTTTGACGGCTAAGGAAGAAGAAGAAAAGGGGGTTTACGAGAAAGTTGATTGGGGGGATGGGATTCTTGAGTATGTTTCTTAAGTTTTGGCGGAGTAGATTTGAAACCTTGTCCGGCTTACTAATGGAAAGTAGGTTTGATGCGTGGGTCGATATGGTATGCAAAGAGGTCCTAGCTATGAGAAGAAGACTCGATGCTTCAAGAGGTTTGATTTAAAATCGGCGAACAAATCAGTTGTTCTATTGGCGCACTGCTAATGGTACAAGCTGTCTCATATCCGTTACATCAGCTGCATTGAAGGCGACGGGTATTTGGAAGTAAAATATCAGTTGTTATTATCGCTCGATCCATCGACTCTGCTTATTTATACTAGCAGTAATGTTGGGGTGGGAGATGTATCGCTGGGAAGAAAGGGATGCAGATTGGAGAATTTCGTCTTGCTACAGTTACTTTCGTGACGAAGTTCTCTACATGCGCATAGATTTCGAGTTAACTCTTCTCTAAAAGATTCGAACTCCAACTGCTGGCAGATAGCTTAATAACCCTAATAATATTAATAACACCACCAATATTTATCAAGTGTCCGATGTTTGATGAGTGAGCGCTGTAAAAGAAACTCTTGGCCGAGAATAATGAGGAGCTTGCTCGATCTTCGTTAGGTAGAGCTAATAATATATCACCCTGCAACGTTCTGTTTCCCGATTTTAATGTATTTGAGGTTGTGCGGAAGACAACTCTTCCAGTGGAATCAAAGTAGTGAAAGAGATGCTGGATGAGTGGTTTAATAAAGTTAAAGAAAAGCTGCGCTCATGTAAAAGTAGTTCAATGCAGATGAGCAATTCAAGAGATTGAACACTTGAATGTAGTCAGTGACGAGTACCTACAGACAGAAAAATTGTAGAGTAATGGATGAGCCTATTCATATAACTACCCAGATACCTATAAACAATTCTCAAACAACGCACACAACATAATCTCCTGACACCCCAAACTCCTCTACATCATCATCACCCATTCATACCTTCATACCACCCAACCCAAATACTGCCATACCCCACCCTCCTTCCTCTCCTCACCTTTATATACCCCCAATTCTAACATCCCAACATAAGCATTCCACACGCCTCGTGGCGCAGCGGTTAGAATTTCTCACTCCCCGCAGTTTGAGATCTCGCCTTTCTTCCGCATTGTGGTACTTCGATCGGACAGTGCATAGAGTGCGGTTTCGCAAGGCAGTTTCGGACTGTCTTGATCGTACATGTAGACTGGGACTGCAAGCCGTCGCGGCTGAAGTTTTGCTGTTTTGGAGGGTGGGTCGGGGCTTGTTTTTGGGGGGATGGGGGTGTGGGTGAGTGAATGAGGTGGATGGAGTGGGGCGCTTTTTTGGCGAGGGAGGGGTTTGATGGGGGGGGTTTGATGGGAGGTTTGATGGGGTGGGAGAAGATGGGTTGGAAGGGGTGGGTGAAGGTGAGGTGAATTGGGGTTTGTGAGAATGTCAAACTTGGGCATTTCTTTGAATTTCAAATTCGGTTTTCGAAGTGGAGATCAAAGAATGGATTCATCGAAGGTTCTGCTCGAAGAATATTCTTTTACCACAAGAACCTATCTGCCGTTTTGATGCCCTGCATATTGAATTCTGGATTTTACTACATCTCTGGCTTTCGCAGCGCAAGACTCCGTTCATCTTGCTCACTGTATCACTTTGTTTGCTGCTGTGTCGCATGTTGTCGCCACCGTCTAGTAAATCTGGTGTGTAAGTTTCACGCCAATTAATTTAATATTCGCCTGCACTGTTTTCAGACCATGGCGCATACAGCTCTGAAGCCTGCTTATGATAGATGTGCGCGAATTGCGATTTTTCAAGTCTCGACTCGTTTGTCGAGTGAGTATGATTACGGCGCATGTGTCTACATAACTATACGAGACTGGGACACTCTCCCAGGAAACAAGACCAGAGTCATACACAGTGCAGGTCTTGAATGCAACTGCATATACATATGGTTCCAACACAGGGTCTTGACCGTATTGCGAGACAAAGGATTCCGTAAAGAGATGTTATCGAAGCCTTGCACTTGTGTATGAATGTGGAATGACATGAACCTCAAACGCCTTGGCGTAAATAGGTGCAAATGGCATACATTGGTATGCATTATTTTTTGTGCCTAGTTGGGCAGAAATATAACAACATACAACGCGGGTAGAACGAGGAAACACCAATATGCAGAATTCAAATATAAGAATGATGAGATAAGACTTACTGAGCCCATCGAGTTTTGGTTAGAGCTTCATGGGACTCCTCACAGGGCAATGAGAATCTAGTGTTTTACCCTTGGCCTACTTCTGCTTGAGGTCAAAAGTGTTCTAAGCCCATTCTTTTTCTCTTCATTCAGGAGTTTGAATAACTCCGAGCAAGCCAGGTCCAGAGCATTCCTTTTCAAGGAAGATGCAGTATGTCTCATCAAATACTTGAGTGTGTCTTACCACAACACATAACTACCCAAAATAACCAATTATACATGCTCTTAGAACAGGGATACTGTGACACTAGTATGTTGTTGCAGATACTGAAGAGCGACTGCTGGATTTTCGATCTTTTCAGTGATATATAAAGTCTTACCAAGTGCTGAGAATCAAACCATGACGAGTATAATCGTGCCTTGTATCTCACTTTATAACACACATTGTAAGCGCCACTTCTCAAAGTCCAACACCAACTTTATGACTCGATCATTGTTTCTTGGCTGGTTGACAGGCTGGTTGACAGGCTGGTTGCTCTCATTTTCCTTTCAACAGCTGCCTTATCTTATCTTGAAGTTCTTTTTTGTCTTTCCTATGCGATGGAATCGAGATACATGTGTTCAACTGAGTTGAGTGATCTAGGTTCGATGTGAAGTAATTCAATGTCACGTGTTGATGAATCACAGCGGTCGTCACGATCTAAATAACGTGGAGAAGGGAAAAAATGAGTAGTTATCCGGAAACTACCTACCTAGTCAGGGCTTAGCATGGCATTTCCGGTCCGTCGATTAAACTTAAGGAAGGAGCGCCTGGGGGTCCAAGCATGTGCGTGTAAGCTCCGAAATACTGTTAGGGTACTGTTTGAGGGACTGATTTAGAATCAGAGAATCAATCTTAGAAAAGATCCCTTTACGAAATCCTCTCGACTCAGATTGCTTGAAATGGGCATTCAAACAAGACAGCCTCTAATACTCAGCTCTTTTGATCATGCTGCTCTCGGATTATACTGTTCGAATCGGATCACTGATGGTCATGATTCGTGAGTAAAGTCGTGAATTACAACAAGGGTAAGATCCTGATTGAATTATTATCATGAAGCATCGAAAGGATTGAAGGATCTTATTGGCCTGGGATACAATGAAAGGTTACGCGTATACATGGGTATTCTCCTGAACCTCAATTGTTGTGTAGCTGGAAACTTGTTCCTATTCACCTGTTATATATCAAAGGCCATCTAGATTTACTTCAAACTTCAAGGTTGCCGACTTCCCCATAATGTTGGACGAGTTGCACAACGTTACAAAGCGGAATTATCCCATTGACGAAGCTCAATCTTATCTCGGAAGGACAGATGTCGAAAACGATAAGATAGAAGATGGAACAACTCAAAAAATGTTTTCTCGAGATGGTCATGATAGTTCTGCAGCTCGATCTGATGTACACAACGGCACTATTAAGTGCGGATCTCGCCAATTGATTGAGACATGGGTAGGCATGTTTGGCGACGATGTCTTCTTATGATAAGAACTAATGATTACTTTAGATGACCGAAGTACGATGTATGGATTACCTGCCACAGGTTCCAGTCCCCAAATTGATGGGAACTCGTCAGATGCACGTGATACGACAAACATGTCCAAACGTGAAGACGAAGAGCTAGTCACGGTTCCTGTCGCAAAGCTACAGCAACTGGTAGAATTTGGGATACAGGTACTGAAAGAAAGCAGAAGGAAGACGAACATTCGTGAAATTGACCTAGAGTATAACACAGCTCCGGCTTCAGAAGGCTTTCCTGTGATTCACTCTTATCGTTCGAAATCCCACTCTTCAACTAAATCAAAATTAGGTGCTAATGAATAATCCCCAGAAGCACGTTCGGAAATTCCACGCCCACTGAATCGCCCGAAGTACCTACATGAATTCTTAACTCGGGCTTGCGCGAATCCCTGGCCAGTTCGCAAGGTTGAAGTGAACCGTAATCAGGTGATTCATCTGGATCATCTTGGGCAGCCCTTTGATAGATTCAATCGTGTACATTTCGAGGCCATTTGGGAAAATCACTTCAGGATCTTCTTTGGATACGGACAAAGATCTGTAACTGCTTCAGAGATAGTGCGAAGAGGATGGTTTTGGAAAAGAATACTCAATGAGTGCGACAAAGAAATGATACCCTGGTTGCTCGAAATTGGGACTGATAATCCAGACGCTCGAGCAGCAATTCTGGTAAAGATTTTAATTTGCATCATCAAGTCGTCAATTGAAAGGAGATATTCTACTACTTCAACAATTGGGGCCATTCTCGAGCGTTGCTACACGAGCGGAGTATTACGCCAACCCGAAGATATCCCATCGAATCCAGATAACATTAACTTCCAAAAAGAAATGAGGCAGGACTATGGCTTTCATATAATTCTTGTTGCAATATCACTGAATATATTCAATGATTGTTTGATGGAAGATAATTCGGACCTGGGTCTCAACAGCCGCCAGATACTATGGTCCCCCATGGATTTGTTGAGAGAAGCTTGCGGGGGTGCCAACTTAGAACAAATTCTTGCTTTTCAGGGACCGGAACTTGTTGTATCAATTCTATCTGTATCAAAATCTTCGAATGCTCCAGTGCTATTGAAAAGCCCAACCACTAGCTCTGGACGTATCGACGATCTGAACATTGGGTCTTTGCAGACTATTGGGGATCTCCGAATAGTCTGGACAGATATTTTCGAGGAACATCTCCTCCTGAACCATGAAAATAAATGTTTGAAAATTGCACGACTACGACCCTTCGTTTGGGGGATGTTAAGTATTTTTCAGAACGACTGGTTAGTCATATTATCTTTCATTGTTCGGCATCATACTAATGACTTGAAAGCGTCCGTTGGTCTAGTATATACCGTCAGCCACGAGAGCTTTCAATCTTGAAAGAGCTAAAGGCCGATATCGAAAAGACATGGGCCATTCTCTTCTCAATCACAACTCTAGGCGAGAACTCCAAGAACAAATCACGGGTTAGGGAAAAGCTCAAGCATGAGTACGAGACCATTATTGACGAAGATCGAAATCCAATACATACAGATATTCAAACCCTCAAAGAATACCATATGCCATGGATAGAAGACGATTCAGCGACCGGCAGAGTGCAATCATACTACGAGTCACGATGGGAAAATCTTCAAGGAATCATTAAATCAAAACAAGACAAAAGTACCATTGCCTACTCCAATTTCGGCATGTTCGGAGACCGTGTGAGAGATCTGAGACAGTATATGGATCATCAAAAACCACATGGTTTGCGACAATTACTACGAGATTCTAGGGATGCGCTTAATTATTATACGTTTATGGGGGTTATTATCTTCGGATTGTTGACTGTCTTTCTCGCTCTGGCATCTTTTTTTGTGGGCGTCGCTCAGACGTATGCTGCGTTTAAAGCGTTGGATACGTCTTCTTAGTGTGAAGTTCGTGGCATGCTTGACGACCAGTACTCTTGTGGATGGAATTTAAGAGCCGTGTTGGAATTTTTTATTAGATTCTCGTACCGTGAAATGATTACTGTGAGCCGAAATGGCTAATCATATCTGCTTTGTGGCAAACACACTACGTCAGTACTCACGTCAACGAATCACCAGGAAACAATGCATGGACAATCCCAGATCTGTAATCAAACCTCTGAAGACGAGATATAGAATAAATCGAGCGCGAGAAAAGTCGAAAGATCGGATGAGTGGGTATGGAAAGATGTATATGCCACCCTTAAGACTTCTCTCACAAAAAAACACCCCGCAGGAAAGGGCAGAGAAATATGAAGTGTCCTGCTACTCTAGAGATCAGAGTTATAGAAGAGAATAATGGGAAAGACATGGGATTACAAGACATAAATATTGTGTACGAAACTGGGAACGGGGGTAATTATTTGCTTTGTATTCTAATTTTCATCATGTTGGGTTCCTTCCCTCTGTCATAAGGTTATCAGTGCTTTCTAGAATGTGGACCATGGTTTTATCCACTCTGAGATGAAGGTTTTACTTTAAGTAAGAAAATTACTGTCAGTTTGATCAATTCGTCGTTTTATATCGATTCAAAAAGAGTATAAATTTCTATATGCGATTGGTTTCAACATTCAAGAGACTTCAATTGCTGGACTGTAGTCTGGACTATCGAATACACGGTCTAGAGGGCCGTCAAGTGTTATGCAAGTCACTCGCCCCATTGTGTATCATGGGTTTATTAAACTTTCTGAGAATTTCTAAAGCTCTCTACCTAGGTAGCTAAATTTTACCATGAAATAAGAGACCAGCGAAATCTAAGCAGAACCCATTGGAAAAGAAAATGAAACCGTGAGACATCAAATCGTTAGAAGCACGTCAAGCTCCGCAATTATAGTCATAAGAAGCCCGTATTTCCATCCATCCCCTCATCTCCATCAAGTTTGATGCAATAATAGCTTATCCTTGACAAAAAAAAAACTCTGTATCAAGTTCTCACGAACAATGAATCACCAATTTCTATCCCTGCCAACTATTCGGAAGAAGACCAGGTACCCTCTCCATTTCCCTCAAACACACACCCGCAGCTAAGTATCTGAAGCTCTTTAGAGGTTCGTCTCGAGCGCCCTTCCTCTTTCTATCATCCAAAGAAACTGCAAAACAAGCAATGCTTCGCTCGAGAGCCTCATCCGAATACTCATCATTGACCTTGATGATGCAATTGACAATGAATGCCGCGATTTCGTCATATTTCTCTTTCATGCTGGTGCACAGCTCTCTTTGCTTTTTGCTTACAGATCCAACTTTTCCGAGAATGTTACCTACGAATACCTCGCGCTCGCTGATGGGACGAGTTGGATGTTCACTGTACTCATGCATTATATCTAGCATGTTGTTCTCATAACTGTATTTTCGTTAGTTGGAATAATCATAGAAAAGAAAAGGGAAACATGAGAATATGGGCTGTTCAATAGTCGAGACTAGCGGACTGGTTTTGAGGCTCCAATTTTTGGTGATTCAGCAATCGAGCTAATTCAGGTATTCGAATTGTTTGAATGTTCTAAACAAATCCAAAAATCAAAGCCCCTCGTTATCGGACCACAGTCTGGGCTATTTTGACAGCTTGTGAGAACTTACATTTCTTGAATCTCGAGGGCATCTTCGCGCAAATGTTGCCATTGAATTCCCTGGGAACGAGATTTAACGAACTCCCACATGTGCTGCATGACATCAGGACTATCATTAGCTTGTACGTTCAGCTTTTGAATATCCTCAAAGACTTTTCGCTCATCAATCGCCCGGTAAAGCCGTCCACAAACTTTTTTACTTTCATAGTACTTGATATTCGTGATTTCGTCCTCTTCGTCCATTGCCTCAATTGGAACATACTCTTTCACAAATTCCAGACGATCATCAGGCCGATGGGAGATTTTGATATGAGGACCTGGAGCCATAAAGTCAGGACGCCAGAGGGTACTCTTGGGGACACTTGGATCACCAAGATTAGGCTAAAGGAATTTAAAAGTTAGTGAGGAATCTCAGTCTGTTGGTAAAAAAATATCATACCGGAATTCCAGTTTTGGAATAGTCAACTGCCGTCGAGCAAAGCTCCGCCAATTTAAGGCAATTAGAACACTCGGTTCCCATCACATCTTGGTCTGCATACACTTGATGTCTATTGGATATAACACCAAGTTGGTCCGTCTTCATGAAAGTCAGGAAAAAATCTGCCATGTCTGGTTGTGTGACTGAGCGGCCGATGTCTAGAGGTGGCAATCGTCGATAGTCCGCAGGCGTTACAGTCCTCTTTAATTTCATATCTGGATCAAACATGACATAATAGAGATCCCCATCTAAGTCTCCACCCGATAACTGACTTGGTAGATCCCGAGGACCTTTCTGACTGAAGCAAACGCAGTTGTAAAGTTTCTTTAACGGAGAATCAGCTGGAACATCCACAGCAGTCGCCCATTGAATGTCTCCAGGATGAAGGGCAGGAGCACGAGTGATAACAACATTCGATCCGACCAGAGTTGTGCGTCTTCCATCCTCAAGCCAACAACAATAAATCTCGCCTTCCTCTAGAATTCCAGTCTCGTCCATGATACCATGTAGATGATAACCCTTCTCGACGGGTATTCTGGCCTTGTGCTTCAAAGTACGAAGCTCAATCAAGACTGTCATTTCGAGAACATCCCGTAAAAATAAATCATTTCTGAAGTCCAAACCTAAAGCAGAACAATGGTCAATAAGGTATGGGAGAAGAACAACATCTCCGACTCTTTTGGTTTGAAGAAATGTCGATGCGTTGTATGCATTGGCTGTGATTGCTCTCATTCGTGAGATTTCCTTTGCTTGGAGCCTCATGAAGTATTCAGGCTGCACTCCTAAGTCTTCCAGAATTTTAATGAATTGTCGATTAAGATACATAGGGAGGGGTTTGTATGCACCGCCGCATATTTCAAGATCATTCGAACTCGATCCTTCGAACTTTATCATAGAATCTCTGAGTCGTAACTGAACGCCTGGGAGACGACTATCCAGAGAAATCATTCCTTTGGCGCCTGTCATTATTGGTAAGCTGAGTTCAAGAACAACTATATCATAGAGTCATAAGATGGTCACACTAACCTTGATAGCGAATTTGGAAACAAGTCGGCTTCACACGGTGTTTATTCGGTAGTTTATCCCATATCTTGTGCATCAATAACTCCGACATTGTGCCCACTCCATCACTGAAGACTCTGCCATTTCGTTCGACGTCAGCAACTATTTCTATTGTGACAGTTTCATCAAGAGTGAGAGTATTTGGTGTATCAGAGAATGCCTGTCCGATTCGTGCCGCACATTTGGCCGGGGAGCGAATATCTCCAAACTGGCCTAAGTCGCGGATAATACGCTGGGCATCATGATATACATTGTTTTGTGTGAAAGGTGCCACAAACCAACAAGATTGTGTACGAAGAGAAGAATGTGAAGAGCCTAGGTACTCATATTTCTGTTTTCCAATTGAGAAACCATTTTGTAGAACTTTCTTGAAAACTCCGTCAAATATCTCGTCGTTAGAGACATTTGATGCATATTGAATTCTTCCGCCATCTTCATCGCAGAAGGTCACACGTACAAAGTTACTATGGCTGCCTAATGATAGAAACTCGGTCGTCAGTATGTGAGAATATTATTGTAGGATTCGAAAGGGGTTACGATTCAAATCAAATGGGAGGAAGAGGATAGGGGAGAAGTATAATGAGACTCACCAGCATATTTACGGAGTATGCGATTATTACTCTCAGACTCAGGACCATCTAGATACATCCCGGCAGGAGTAATGGTAACCCGATGAATCAAAGCAGTATTCTGAGAGGCTGTGCCCCCAAATCCTTCGGCATACTGGGCCTCTTGAGTCGAGGTCTTCTCAATATCCAAAAGTAGTTCAATGATGGCGTTCTCGTCAAAATCTTCCGCTTTGACATTGGGTCCAGGGTATGGGATTTGCAAAAATAACCTCCTCATGGTCGTGACGCAAATTGGAAGAGTAGTTCTTTCAAACATTGAAGTGAAGGCTGGTAGAAGATCGATTATTTTGCGAGGAGACAAATATCCGTTCTGGGCTAGCTTTTGGACTTGAAATGTCAATGGGAATGGTAGCTCGTTATTGAAACTCTCTAAAGCTTCATGGAGTTTCCTGAGTCCGATAATATGAGATTCTCTAGGACTAATAATTGAAGCAGAATGATGAATCATTGGAGGAATGCCTCGAGCATTCTTCAATGTCTCCAACTTTTGCTCAATAACCGATGAGAATCCGTTTGTGTCTTTGAATGTACAGCGATACACGCGAGAGCTCCCCGCAATCTCCTTGTGCTTATCGCCAAAACCAGCGACTCGAGACCTTTTTGTGTGAGGCCTGCTGCCGTTTCTGAGGTTTACTTTACCAAACATATTGATCATCTCAAGGAGATCATTTTTGGGGGGCGAATTGAAGAAATGAGGGGATTGATGAAGCGTCGCAGTAATTCCTGGGTAATGACCGTCATCAGTTGTGAGAAGTTCAATTGTATCATACCGAATTACCATCCTTGATCCGTTATTCAGAACCAATATCATTGCTCTCTCCTTGAAATGAACAATGATCCTACTTTGCCATATCAACTCCGGCATGAAGACCAAATTCTCTCCAAAATAACTCCAATTACCACACATGATTGTAGAGCATTCAAACGAAGTGTTAGCAACTGGTGGGCCATGATTAAGATAGGAATTCTCAACACGTTCTTTCTCTTCCTTTTCCAAGCATCGGAGCAAATATGGATTGGCAGCTGATTTACTCTTCTCACAATAAATCGGCGTACTGTGATAAACAAGCTTTGCCGGAGTAGCTCTCGGATTTCGTTGTCTATTGTTTGGTCTCCGTTCACCAAACTTGCGTAGAAATTTTTCTCCATCTGTAGCCGTCCGAAAGGTGATTTTCGCATAGTCTATGCTTCGCGCAGTGTAACAATGAAACGCACGAATTGTAAGAGCATTCAACTTGGGCCTGAGAAAATTGCGAAGATCGTGCTCTCCAGCATGAATTGGCACGTTTCTCACGAATACCTCCATTGCGTCTTGATGAATGTCACCACCGTGGAGATGGAAACAATTATCAAGTCAAGAGAATATCACAAGACCGGCGAGAAAATTCAGAGAGAAGAAAGCATCAAATGTGGGAGAAATATGAATGACTTCAGATAAGATAGAATAGAGAGACTTGATATTTCCAAGGTAGAAAGTATAAGAAGGTAAAGGTAAAGAAAGGTAAGGCTCAGTGAGCTGCTGGTAACCGTTGACTGGATGCGGGCAATTCACTGGTTGGTCGATAAACAAGAGCAAGGGTGTGTAAACGGCGGCTACATCCGCTTATCTGCAGGCGGGGTAAATCATTATCGTCCCATATTTGTATATTTTCCGTTTCTTACCTTTGTGAATTCTGCATCTCGTGACTAGAGCTTCATCTTTTTAATGCCGCCGACATGCTTTATTAAATAAACTCTGTCATCTAGAATTCTAGATACTTGAAGATCAACAGTACATGATCGCGAGGGGCACTTTGACAAAATTTCTATTCTTCAACAGACCCGTGACCTGACACTTTGCTTACAGAACTGTGGAGCATTTGAAAATTCAGAATCTGGCTTACCATAAAGCGAGGGCCAAAATACAAGCCTGCGTGGTTAAAGCGAGATAATTGGTAGTACCAACTTTAAGCTTCAACACTGGCAGCAATTTCATGAAGGCTACTATGGCATTCTGGCCATGCCGAACATGCTGAAAATGCTGATGACCTTGCGCTCGAGATCAAAACACTTTCAGACAACAAGCACCAATATAGAGCTCAAGAGACTATCGCTTGAAGGTCTATAGTAACCACTAGAATACCACAAGCAGGGTGGCTCCGTATGTTGAGAAAAATGCAGGTTTGGGAAAGAAAAAAAGCGTTCCTCTACGTCCTCATTTCCGACCTTTATTTCTAATCTTTCCTTCGACGTGGAGAAATGCAACGATTGATTTGGGAACCAAAGATCAAGACAAACATACTATGTGGCCACATTACCAAAGCAGCGCCGCACATCTATATACGCCTCCAACACTCGAATGCGTTGGAGCTCGAGCTTCTCCAATTAGGCCGATGAGTTCCAATTATTTCTGCCTCAACATTCTCGGTCCATAGACCAAACTTTGAGACTGGAGAATATCAAGTCCAGAAATCGGATAAAAGCTCTAACGTAGTTTAACACCGAGTGGCCCATATCACCAAGTGGCCCACTTTCACCTCAATTTACACTTTCAAACTCATATTATTCAATAACAATTAAATCAATTGATTAAAACTATTAAGAATCTAATAATCTAGAATCTATTATATTATTTTGATAGATTCTTGTATTATATCCTATCTTTCTACATTTACTATAATATCGATTAAAAAATACTTCCCTATTAAAATTCCCCTCTTTTTGATACTCATTATATTGAATCTAAATATCAATCTCTTGCTAAAATAATATATTAAGAGTTTTTTGTTCAGTAAATACTCTTTCTTAATATAATTAGGTTTTTTTCATACATCAATATTTGCTTAATATCTTATTTGTTATTCGAAGTATATGAATCTCTATATTTAAATGTCACAGTCAATCCGCATAAGGACTGGCGAGGACACGTGAATAGCCCTGCGGGCCTACCCCGAGCCGACACCAACCCGCGCACAATTATAAATTATAGAATTTTTATAGTTTAAAAAAATTAATGAAAAATCTTTATATTACATTATATCTAATTGATTCATTGTTATTATCTATTCTAACAATTCTTTTCATTCTATATATAAAACAATCCATCAACTATTTCTTAGTCGAATAACCATCGATACCACTATGATTTCAATAAAAAGAATACCTATCCTAAGGGAAAAACAGAACGCCCACAATACAACTCAAAACCAATCCAATGAAATTGTCAATCAATTTCTGCAGAGTATTAATAGCAATATCCATTCAGTTCCATTACACCCCTTTAGTAATAGCGAGGATATATTGTTGACTTAACAATTTCGAGAAATAAAAAAAGAAATGGCAGTCATAAGAGAAGCTCACAGAATAACTATAAACCATATCTTATATATAACTATCCCGATCGAGTATAACCAACCTACAGTCATACCGAATGCAACCCACCAGGTTGCCAACCTCAATTCAGAAAAATCACCGAAATTGTAGAGATTAAAATAATATAAAGAAAAGAATATCAAGAAAACTAAAAACTTCTTTTTCCAAACAGAAATTATATTTCGAAGTGATGGTGAATACCATTTCCCCACCAATACAAAGAAGATAGAATATATCATCCAATACTTCGAAAGACAGCCTCTAGCGATTTGGTGTTGATATATAAGCGAGTCGAATTACAAAGAAATGAATTAGAAAAACTTTAGGAAATACATATATAACACTATCATAAACAAAAAGACTAGGCAACAACAAGCAATCCAAAAGATTATGTATACAAAACAAAGGAAAAAAAAAACTGTAAATACATTATAACCTACCTAAAAGACCTTAAAAAAACATCGAACAAAAACAAAGAGTGTTTGAATCGAAAAACTCTTAACAGATCTATTACCCAACATAACTAGAAAAATCTCAAAATCCCCACAACAACCTAAATCGCACAATAAGCTTATAAGACAAACCTGTAGATTGAAAAATATAAAGAAATTATTCCAAGAAAAAGACACAGAGGAGCCACAACAACCCCGCAAACACAACCAATCACCCTCTCGATATCGAAACCCTTCTAAACACCCCCACCTAGAAAACAACCCAACCCTAACTACTAAACCAAAGGCCCAAGAATCCAACCAACCCTCTCGAAAGGAACCCTCTAAAGCCCTGAAATATCCTGTTGAAATACCATATACGGATTGCATTCGGAATACTATATACTATAAATGCCAACAAAAGAAGTACTATACTACAACCTATCGGAACAATGTTATATGCAGACGTTGTGGAGGGAGGCATAGAGAACCCGATTGTCAAAATAATCCATCTGAGATTATCTGCATAGGAAACGCTTAGATTCAGCAATTATAATAAATATCCCATTGATACTGGATTTATATAAGAAAGGGCGGACAATCTTTATAGTCACAACAATCTTTAATAACAACAACAAATCGATAACGCTTCAATGCTTTATCGACTCGAGAGCGCAAGTCAATATTATACAGCAAAGCAAGTGTATTGAGTAGGACTGGATCCCTACTAAGAAAAGCACTTCCCTTGTATTAACGAATAGTACCGCAATTGCATTGTATAGGGATTACAAATTCCTCATTGAAGTAAAAGATGAAAAAGGGGAAAGGAGAACCCACACCCATAGTTTCACATCAGCGGTACTGGACCTACTACGGATAGATACCATCCTAGATCTTTTATGGTTATAAACAGTCAATCCCAACATCGATTGGAAATCGATATCACTCCGATACCGCTACACCTTGAGCAAGCTTGAGATCATTTCTACAAAAAAATTTTATCAAGAAATAAAAGAAAGCAAAGCAGTCTTCGCAATCTTCCCAAACAAGATGACATCGCACCCAAAGATAAAAGGGGGCCGCCTGGTACTCGCATTAACCTCATATAAAATACCAAAGGAATTCCAAGAATACAAGAAAGCTTTCTCTGAAGAAGAAAGTAGCCTTTTACTTGAATATTATCCTATAGAGTATTGCATTGACCTCAAGCTCGATTCAACCCCTCTATAGGGTTCAATCTATTTCTTATCAAAGAAAGAGTCAGCAATATTACAAGACTATTTAGATAAATATCAAAAGAAAAGGTAGATAAGAAGATCCATTAGCTCAACAGAAGCTCCTATCATATTCGTTTTAAAGAAAGGGGGAGGCCATCGATTATATATCGATTATCGAGAGCTTAATCGGATTATAAAAAAGGATCGAATTTTCTTATCCCTTATTAGTAAATCCCTAGACCGATTCCGACAAGGTGCTATATTCATTAAATTAGATTTGAGAGATATATACCATCGCATCTGTATAAGAACGGGCGATAAGTAAAAAACAGCATTTCGCACGCGATATGGTCAATATAAATATAAGGTAATGCCTTTCAGTTTTATTAATACTTCTACAATATTTCAGATATATATTAATCAAGCACTAGCAAGGTTAGCGGATAATATATGTATAGTATACCTCGACAACATTTTAATTTATTTTAAAGATAGAACTATACATACAGCAGATATCCGATAGATGCTCGCATATCTCATTGAGTATAAGCTTTTTGCGAAGTTAAAGAAATGTATCTTCTATACCAACGAAGTCGAATTTCTAGGATTCGTTGTTTCAGCTGAGGGGGTTATGATAGAACCCGGGTGTGTTCAAACTATTACGGAATGGCTAATACCTAGTAGTCTAAAGGATATACAAATGTTTCTTGGCTTTGCGAACTTTTATCGACAGTTTATTAAAGCCTATTCGGCGATGGCTTATAGTATAATTGCGTTGATAAAAGGAATGTAGAAAGGGAAAATGGTGATCAAGTTCAAGTAAACTGATGAAATACAAAAGGTGTTCGAAGTATTAAAGAAAGCTTTCACATTGATACCTATTCTTCAGCATTTCGATTTTTTACTCTGTATAATAATCAAAACCGATGCTTCGATCTTTGTATTGGGTTGTGTATTGTTATAGCTTTTCTCAAAAAGGACCAAAAATGTATTGGTTTAATAATAGCACCTCATCGTGTTCTATTCGAGAAAGCTAAACCCAGCAAAGTAGCGATATTTTATTTACGATCAAGAATTATTAACGATATATACTGCTTTTGTATAGTAACGCCACTATACGATAGGGAGTCGACATATTGTTATAATTAAGTTGGATTACAATAGCCTTTAGCACTTTATGATAAAGAAAAGCTTGAATGATTGACAAACAAAGTGAACAGAGATTTTGGCCGTATACGATTTCGAGATAGTATATAGAGCAGGAAAATTGAATCCTATAGATGAACTGTTATACCACCTCGATTATACTATCGATATAAAGAGTATTAATGATATACTTTTAATCCTTCAGAATAAACTGAGGAATAGGTTGATAATTATGAAATTGTTTTAAAGTTTCCTTATCAAAAAGATGGAGCCTTTGTGTAATGTTATAGGTCTCTTACAAAGGGAAGG